TGAAGCTATTCGCACAAAAATCTTGTTAGGGTCATCATCTCTCTTTAGCAACAAACATAAAAACAGACTCAGGAAACAGATCTGCAGCAACTCCATAAAACCCTCATTTTCAAAAACAGCTTCCAGCATTTAGGCTGTCTGAAGCAGAATTGTAATCAGGGCCCTGCAACACTTTAGCTCTAGCCTGCTCTTATGAACACAGCATTAAGCCTTAGGATATGTTTAAACAAAGTGCATTATTTATAAAAGGGCGCTCTAGTGCAAAAAGAGGGTTAAGAACTTAGCAGAGAAAACAATCCACTGCAGCACTAATCCAAAGTTCATCTCCTAACATAGAGCATAGATACAATTCCTAACAGATGAAGATCTGCAATACAACTACAGTAATAAATGTGTCAAGAAGCATTCTGAAATGTTTTCCAAAATAATTGCAGTTTCCATTATCAGCCTCTCAGCGTGATGTGCTCACTGGATTCTCATCTGCAACACTTGCTTTGGAACTCCAATCAGAAATGTTTCTCTCCAGGTAGTAATGATGAGGAATACAGGAAATTAAAGCTGCTGCAACAAAGTCTGTGCAATACAAAAGGAAGGATCGTTGGGATATCTCTGACTTCTCATTATCCTTTGTGAGGGGAAAACACTTTGCGTGCTTGGCTGAGCTCTGGAAATAGAGTATTTCTTTAAAAATAACTTGAAAAATTATGAGGCAAATGTGTGAAGATTCCAGAGGCAATGCCATTTCTGAAGACATTTTTGTTCCAATTAAATGGCAACGATTATACTGTATTCCCTTAGATCTATAATTCTGACCATGAGGATAACATTAATAAAAAGGGTGCCAAATTCCAGTGCTAGAGGGCTACTGTCCTCATATTACATGCATTTCTTCTTTGACATAATCTATATGCCACAAATATTCACCCATCTACCTAATATATAGGGATTCAATATGACCTCAGTCCATTGCAGCTATAACAGCTTCAACTCTTCTGGAAAGGCTGTCTTCAAGGTTTAGGAGTATATGAATGGGAATTTTTGACCATCCTTCCAGAAGTGTATTTGTGAGGTCACTGACTGATGTTGGAGAGGACGACCTGGCTCTCTCTCTCTGCTCTAATTCATCCCAAAAAAGTTTTAGACTTAGACAGCTTTCATGACATTTCCATTCCTTAAAGTGCAGCAGTGATCAAATGTAAAAAGTGGGGGAGAAAAAAAAAACATGGTGCAAATAAACACATTGAAATGAAATTTCAGTGCATTAAATATATATATATATATATATATATATATATATATATATATATATATATATATATATATATATATATATATATATATATATATATATGGTGCAAATATGCAGTGTTTTGGTTTGATGTTGTCAGTGTGATGCAGAGTCTGTGACATGATTTGGAGCTTAGAGAACCTATCAGGTTGAGGTAAGGACTCTGAGCAGGTCAGTTTAACTCATCAACATCAAAGTCTTCTATTCATGTCTTTTTTAGACCTTGCTTTATGCACTGGTGCACAATTATGTTGGAAGTGGTCATCTGCAAACTTCCTACAAAGTTGGAAGCATGTGGTTTTTCAAAATCTATCAGTCTGATAAAGCACTCAGACTCCTCTCAGTGGAACAGAGGAGCCAAGCTTTGCTGTTGAAGAACAGCCCCACAAGGAGTGAAGAAAGGTCAAAGCTAGACTTGTTGCTTTCTGTCAAAGTAATATGCTGGAATCCACTGAACTCCTTAGAGCTCCCTTGATTTTACACAACTGTGAACAATTGATTTTAATTATTTCTTTGGGTGAGTGAATACTTTTGGGAATATAGCATCCCTAAAAAATGGCTATATCTTCACATCAGAAAGTCTTTTAGCTCAGCAGAAACCTAGTAACGATTCATTCATTTGATTCCGCCATGTTGGAAAAGGGATGAATGTAAATGTTGCAGGATAGCAGCTCTCGAGGACTCCACTGAGACAACAGGTGAACCAAAAATTGCACCTAAGTAAGAGAAAAACTACTTTATCATATTTTTAATCAAGTAAGAGCAAAAAAGTGTTTGTTTAGAAGGGCTGCTTATGATAAAATCTGATATTTGAAACTATATAATAAGAACAGACCAAAATGTAAAGATAGGTGGCATTTTAAAAAACTATAGTAAAATAATTAAAAGCAAATAATGCAATTGAAAAATAACAACTGCAGGCATTAAGAAACACTTTTCCAAACCAATTTTTTTTTTTACATCAAACGTATGAAACCATTGCCTCCAGTGACAATATTTACTCCTTACTGTATATTACCTTGAGCTCCAAATGTAATGGAAGGTTAAAATAAGCTTGTGTACAAATACAAACATATATCAAACTAAACAATAATTATGGGTCTTCATCTGAAGCATTTTTTTCTAAATCAGACATGTTTTTACATGGAGAAGTTAATCACCATGGATGTAGTGGCCATTTTACATCAGAAAGAGTAGAAATATTTGATTAATAAATTACTCAACTGAGTAAATGAAACTAGTTACAACCCCTATTTAATGATTTATGATATATAATGATGCTATCAAAATCAATATGATGCGATGTAGTATTATATATTAGATATAACAAATGACATAAACAATGAGATGTAATACATAACATAAAGAATGGGATACAATATAATTCCAGACAATGAAAAGTATAGTTTTTCTTCTATATGAGATAAGATATACAAAGGGTAAGGTCAAATATTACAAAGTAGAAAGGCAACATTAAAAACAGAATACTAAACTACAATTTTGTATGATGTGATTTATTACTTTATTACTGCTAAATTTTACATTTAAATGATTTCTCAGTAGCTGCCTTCAAAAAGAATCCACCAATAAAGACTAAAAGAAGCCACATTTGCATACGTGTATGTGGTTTTGTCCAGCATAATACTCTGGACAGTTATTTTTGTTGAAACACAAAAAATGAACATTAAGATTAATAAAATATCAAAAGGAAAACAAACATTTGTATTTCTTGACTCCTAATAATACCAAGAGAATTTGCCCAATGTTAGAAAAACTAAAGAAAAACACATCAGCTACTTAGCAAATAATATGTATGATCCCCCCACCCCACCATCAACCAATGAAACATGGGAGTTAAGACGCCCACTTGCTGTGTTACCACTAACAACATCCGCAACTAACATGAACAGCAAAGTTAAAAACAGCCATTCTCCTTTTATCCAAGCACTTTAAACTGAGTTCTTGAAATACATAGGGTCCAATGCCAGTAGAATATAGAATAAGATGCCATGATATGGCACAATGTGATGCAATGCAGTTCCATACTGTCTGTCAGTACTATGATGTATGATATGATATATTATGTTGACACAGTGTAATATGTTGCACCAACAGTACAATATGACACCCAATACATGCTGGCATACTGCTGCCCAGCCCTTATACAAAATGGAACAAAGCAGTCCTTTGTACTGAAAGCAAATAGTCTTTTAAACAGATGAGACAATGTGTGTTTTGTTTTTAATTTTTTTTTTGGTCAGCAGCTCTGAACTGATACAAGCTTCATGTTTCGTCTTTTACGAGAACATGTTTTAATCTCATTTGAATTTATTTTTTGTCAAAAACTGGATAATCATGTTAGTAGCATGCACCAAAGCCATGGGCTTCTGTGCATGTCATTTACATTCTATTGTTGTTAAGTGCATTTTGATTTTGTGCCTTAATTTATAATTTTTTTTATGCAATCAGTAGGGTAAGGCCAAAAGACAATTCAAAGTTCCCTACATGAAGTAAATTGGGTAGCACTTTCGCCTTGCAGCAAGAAGGTCCCAGGTTCGATTCCTTCTTTGTGCATGGAGTTTGCATGTTCTCCCTGTGCATTCGTGGGTTCTCTCCAGGTACTCCGTCTTCCTCCCACGGTCAAAAAACATGACTGTTAGGTTAATTGGCTCCTCTAAATTCTCCTTAGGTGTGAATATGTGCATGACTGGTAGTTTGTCCTGTTTGTCTCTGTGTTGCCCTGCAATGGACTGGTGACCTGTCCAGCGTGTACCCCACCTCTCCCCCATAGACAGCTGGAGATAGGCACCAGCACCCCTCGCGACCCCAAATGTGATTTAGCATGACAGAAAATATATTGATTGAAAATAAAGGCAGAATAACATGGCCAATGTCATGAGTTCACACACTGAGCAAAATTTCACCATTGGGAAATTGAACAAAAAAATCTACAATATTACAAAAAAAAATCTACATATTTACAATATGTCTAATAGTTTTCTTGCAAAATCTTGGAATTCAATGGTTTGACGATAGCTGCCATCACAGAGCATCACCAAAAAGGCTGTTATGAAAGCCAACTTTAATATTAGATATGTTATAAAAGGGATAAAGATGATTAACAGACTAACAGTACCAATATCAACCATAGGAACAGCTGATTATCAAAAACATCAAAATACTTTAATTTTAGTGCCTCTAGCAAATGCTTATGGGACGTATAGTAATATCAAAAGTTATACATCAATGTTGCATCACATAAGTTTTAATTTATATCTGTGTCCTAAATGTTTATTTTTCTTTGGTTAAAAAACCCTGGGTTTGCTAATCCACAGTCCCAAATTTAACCAAGCTCTTTGTAGTAAACAGCCATCCCCTGGAACCCCCCTCCTGACAATGAAACACCAGATAACATACTCTAGCTACCCCTCATAAACTTACTGCGTTACCACCCATAACACCAACAATCCTGCAAAACTTAAGAGGATTCCTATATTAGTGCAACCACCATTTGTTATGTTTATTCCTGATATCTCCCAGAACCTGGAACATGTTTTTACAAAGGTTTGTTGCATAGAGTCAGGATCAATCTAAAAGGAAAAACTGCAACAAAAAAGCCATCAAAATCATCAAAGGATGGAGAGCAGATACTGACACATAATACATGCAGATCACAGTGATTTTCTGTGGAGGAGTGTTTCCTGTTACTTACTGGCTTGCATTAGCTGCCCCTGCCGTCCAAACACCTGGGAGAAGGTGGCATGGCTGCAGGTGAGGGTGTCCTCCATGGCACTCCCACTTGCTGAAGAGCCAGAAATAGAGTGGAAAGATAAGGGAAGGTCAGGCAGACTGCGTCACTTCAAGATCACTGAAAGGAGGAAAAGTGGACAGCTGAGAACAAAGAGGAAAAGAGAGAAGGTTGATGCCTGCCTTGAGCTGGTGTGTGATGTCTGGTGATGGTTGCACTCCTGTGGAGCTGTCCTGCTGCTGCGGCTGGGGAGTGAAATACGGCTCGTCGCTGCTTACACCAGTACGAACAGAAGTGCTCGCCTGCACTGATGGGTGGCAGGGCAGGGGGGGCGGGGTGGGCTGGATCCTCGTCAGCTAGTGTGCAGGAGAGAAAGTTCTCTGAATGTGTGCCTGCGAAAGCATTTCAGAGTGCAGATGTGATGTGATGCAGGCAGCGCAGGTAGCTGAGCTAGAGGCACACTCTGATCGTGTTCATCTTCATCCATACAGACTGACAATCCTCTATGGCTCCAGACAGGCTGGGTGAAGGGAGGGTGAGAGGGGAGAGGCAGCATCTCCACCAGGTAAAAGTCAATCCAGCGCTCAATCTGAAGTAGACAGCAGTAGTGTGTATCTTCTGAACATAAGACAGCACTTTTTTTATTATCATCCATGCCCCCCCACACACACCCGCACACACACTCTACAACCTTCATTTGATTTACCTCAGCAGTAACATTTCCCTCTCTCTCCCCGCACATCTCTATTACCGCCCTTACCCCACCTCATGCAAATTCCCCCCCCTCAATCCATCTTAAAGCTTGGGCCGCTGCCGGGAAAAAGACTCCAGGCAAATGAGTGCTTCATCTTCCCCCCACCTCTCCAGTGTAAAAGAGAATGGGGAGAAAAAAGAAGAATGAACAAGTGGAAGAGTTGTATTAAAAGTAAAAGCAGGACTTGTACAGCTGGTAGTTTTTAGAGGCTTCGGCATGAAAAGGAATTTTGGAAAAGTGCTGAACATAAAAATACAAAAACACAATGAAACCCCTGTGAACAAGCCTTAAATGCAGCAGCTCGGCTGAAGAGAACATGAAGCACCTTCCACGCACTAAAGCAAGTAACCTGGATATGTTGTAATGATGACTGGAATTACCACAGGGTGAGATTAGGATGTCAGGGCTCTGAAAGTTGGACCCAGAATTCAGGCAGACAGACTAAAGTGATTTATAAAAACGCTTATTGACTATAATAAACCCCAGCAGGACAGCAGCTAGGGATAAATGGCCACAACCTCTGTAGAGGGCAAATTGCAGGTTAGTGATCAGGTAACTCAAACAGAGGATGATAACAAGCATGTGAGTCACTAACCTGGTTATTAAGTTCAGTCCAAGCCCAGAGGAAGGAGTGGAATCCAGCCAGGTGACTTTACACAGCCCATGGCAGATGCCCCCCAGAGAGTTTCAGGAGCCAAAGGAAAGAGAGCTGCAGAGCCAGCTGACATGAAGAAGCCAGCAGACAGTTTCTAAAAAGAGAAGCCAAAACCGGTGTTGAGGAGGTAACCAGAAGTCCAAGCCAGAAGATGAGGGATCTGAAGAGGTACGGTAGGGAAATCCAAGCCAGGGTCAGAAGACAGATCCAAGGTCAAAAGCAGGCAGAATCCAGCAGGAGTCCGACAGGTCAGGCAAACAGGTCAGAACAGGGGCAGACAGGCTAAGAGGTCTGGGAGCAGAAACTAGTCAGGATCAGGCAATCAGAGTTACAAACTCGATACGCTAGAGAACTCTCTCTTATGGCTTGAATAATCTTGCACTGATGGCTCAGGGATAAACAGTTAAAGTAGAAGCTTGAACAGGTGGATCTGATAAAAGGAAGTGAAAACTGGGCAGGGATAGGTAGCTGGAGGGACTGAACCAATAATCCAGTCATCAGTGCCAAGATCCTGACAAAGGACACATTAGGAGATCTTAAAATCCCTTATTCTACTTGGAAGCCTGTGGGAGAAAGCCAGAGTACCCAGAGAGCACCACATGCACAGGGAGAACATGCAAACCCCATGCAGAAAGACCAGGAATCGAACCTGGGACCCACTGCACCCAGGTGCTGCTCAAAACTGTTGTCTGTAAAATGTTAAAAGCTTGAGATATTAGTCTAAAACAGTTGTATTCCTGACCTTTCTGAAGTGACTTGTGAATTAAGCAATGGAGGAATTCTGAAGTTAGACTGGGTTTTATTTAAGGGTAACAAGAGGAACAGGGCAGATAATGCAAATTTAGCCCAGCTTTTTTTATTATTCTTATTTTTAAATCTATTCTTAACCATGCTGTAATCTGTTGTGCAAAGTTAAAGCTCTTTCGGTAATCTATTAAACTAAATCCATAGCCTAGCCTTCCTGCAGCTGGTAAACTGGTTTACAGGCAGTTTCTTCCTGTGCTGGGACCCCACCCCCTTGGGAACTCATTGTCGCAAAGCCATCTCTCACACTACGCCTCAGCAAGGTGATCTCACCTGGATCTGATCACAGCACTCACTTCCTCAAATTAAGATTTCTTATTTTGATAGGAAGTGGCAATACGCTCCATAAACCAAAGCTAGAGGTTGGATCCAGGCAACAGAGGATCAGTATTAGTGGGTGTTTCTGCAATCTAAACTACAGAGTTCAAACCATGCGACAAAATCACAACGTGGCATTAAATAACTGTAAAAGAAGGTCTGGCTGATTGACTAAAAATCTCTTCAAACTGGGCTACATACAAAGCAAAACTAAAAACTGCAAAATGCAGAGATCAAACCAGACATTTCAGAAACAATGACAAATCTCAAATCCCATCTCCAAGTCTGTGAGACAAATGCCCAGCAGAATAAAGCTCTCAATCTTCATCAGCTTTAATGTTATTCTCTTTGAACAGGAAACAGGGGCACAGGGAGCTTTTTTTGGAGTTGTGTATTGTCATATATAGGCAATTGCCCCACGCTGCTTCTTTCTCTGCCTGCTATATTTTTTTTTACTGTTTTTATCCAGTAAACAGATTATATTTGAATTTTTAAATCCCCACAATCCAGTTGGATGTAGGTTTCCTATTTTATGCTGTGTTTTCTTCTGTATGAAATGCTAATGCCCACATCTGTATTTGAGCTTCAGAGGTTATTCAAGGCTTTGCTGTCTGGTAATTTATCTGAAGTAATATCTTTCATTTTTATGTCTACAGATGGAGGTCAGGTGGATATTAAATATATCGAAAAAGGAAGTGAGGGTAAGAAAAGTACAAATCGTATCTTTTGATACAATTTGCATGCATCGATTAGAATGCATAGAATTAACCATATGCAAGACAAATTGTAAGATTAACTGAGTCTGATGTTTATTAAGTTATGACTCAATTTTTGGGGTTTTTTTTGTTTTCTTTTTTTTTTTTGGTTTATTCTGTTAAGATATTATGAAATTTCAATATCAATATACCTGCAGTAAATTATTATCCTGGTATTTTCCCACCATGGAAAAAAGTTTTTTTTTCCTCCTAATCCAAAGCCCCCTGATTTTCAGACTGTAGATCAGTGAGTGTACCTTGGCTTTTACCAACAGTACTCAAAAGATCATCAATTTGCAAGTGAATTAAAAGAAGAAAAACAAGATGGATAGACGAACGGACGGGTCCCTGCTGATGTTCACCAATCCCCTTTAGACCTCAAATCACCTGGAACAGAAATGACATATCTATGGTCTTAGCCAATTGAAAAGTATGGATTTCATCATTTGAATGATGCTTGTTACAGACTGTTTTCATTACAATCCAATTACATTTAGACTCTTGCTATGAGACAGCTTCAGGCATTAGACAAACGAAGCATTGCTTTGAAACTGGAGAAAAAATAAATGTCATTGAAAGCATAGATTTAGGTCGTTGCAAACTAATGAAATTGCTTTCAGTATAATTTAAGAAGTTTCAGTGGTAGTATTTAAAAAAAAATCTTTAATATTGAAGTGAGTATAGTTTCAGTTGTTTTTGTTTTTTCATACAGTATACAGACTTTTCTTTAACTGATCTTAACTGTTTGTATTCAGGAAATGACAACAGGTCTGACATAGGTATTGAGTAAAGTTAACCCTGTAGTCGACCGCAAGCCAAAAAACACACCCCTTTTGGGTCAACCACACGGCGTTCACGGCGTGTGGTTTTTGCTACACTGAAACTTGGAGGCTGTTCTTCGAATATCAAGACTAAAGAAAGTACTCAGCTCGTTCCAGCAACTGCATTTGTCTTCCATTTGTGCTAAATCATTTTAAGTTTTTATATATATTGCATTTATTAAACTGTTCTTTTCCACCTGTCTACATCCTCAATGTTTTTGGGTCAGGCTCAATGTCATTTAATTTGCCAATTTCTTACTAACTGTATGATTAATTGTTATATGTTAGCAGCATAACTATATCTCTATAGTTATGCTATAGGCTTAAACGTCTGGAGGACATAGGGACCCCCATTTCATCATTCTGCTTCATTCTATCTCTCTTCTCCCACTCTGCACAATCTGTTAGTTCAATCTCTAACGTTATGCTCTCTCTGCTTTTTCTCATAGTAGCTTCTGCCATCAACACCTTTGTTTATAGATGTTGGAGATCAGCCTGTTTTCCAGTGTAGTCCTGTTTCTCTGACTGTGACTGGCTGGATGTGCTCTCTTCATCCTCTGACATGGAAGTTGGCTCGAAGCTCGTCTGCCTGGCTGTGTGTTTCTTGGACTGGGACGCCTTCTACAGTTGCTTTTTGTATCTCTGCTTCTGTCTCCTTGAACCCTAGTCGGCCTAGGAAGATGGCCGCTCACACTGAGCCTGGTTCTGCTGGAGGTTTCTTCCTGTTAAAAGGGAGTTTTTCCTCTCCACTGTCGCTAAAAGCATGCTTAGTGTGAGGGGTTGCATTCGAGTCAATGAGTTGATGCAATCAAGTTTTCCTTAGATAGAAAACTTTGAATCAATTGGACTTTATGATCTGGTGAACTGTAAAGTGCCTTGAGATGACATGTGTTGTGAATTGGCACCATATAAAAAAATGAATTGAAATTGAAATTATATGTTTAGTTTACCCTATTAAAAAGAACAGCAATGCATTTTAAGTTCATTGATAATTAACTGTAAGCGAGTTTTTAAAGAAACATTACCAACCATTATAAGAGTTTATATCTACAATGAGACCTGTACACAGATGCTGTACACATACTGTACATAAATTTTCAACATGGAGGTCATTGCCTTATTAGATATTACATGCAATCTATATTTTAAATTACATTAATGTTCTTGACATTAAGTTTTTGGTTCTCTGAGTCATGCCGTTCATTGGAATAAAAAATA